ATAATATTTCTTTATTTAATATTATGTTAATCTTTTTGCATGCACATTTATTGGGAAAAAGTGTTATTTCAATGTGAATACAAGTAAATTTTAGTCATTTTACGTTGCATTTGATTTTCTTACATATTTAAAATAGGATATTATGTATGTGAAGTTGATATGTTTTAATATAAATTATACCAATGTTTACATGTAATTATGTGTTTATAGTATTTGTGAAAACTCAAATTTTGAATAAGTGAATGTGTCTATGTGAGACAGCGACTTGATCAGTCATATTTTTACCTAACAATAAGAGTCTGACAAAAATTTCACCTCCAAAGATCTGGATCACAAAAATGTCACCTCCAAAGATCTGGATCACAGAAATGTCACCTCCAAAGATCAGGATCCCAAAAACGTCACCTCCAAAGATTAGGATCCCAAAAACGTCACCTTCAAAGATTAGGATCCCAAAAACGTCACCTCCAAAGATTAGGATCACAAAAACGTCACCTCCAAAGTTTAGGATCACAAAAATGTCACCTCCAAAGTTTAGGCTCACAAAAATGTCACCTCCAAAGATTAGGATCACAAAAACGTCACCTCCAAAGATTAGGATCACAAAAACGTCACCTCCAAAGATTAGGATCACAAAAACGTCACCTCCAAAGTTTAGGATCACAAAAAGGTCACCTCCAAAGTTTAGGATCACAAAAAGGTCACCTCCAAAGATTAGGATCACAAAAATGTCACCTCCAAAGATTAGGATCACAAAAACGTCACCTCCAAAGATTAGGATCATAAAAACTTCAAAACAGTTTATGTAACATATCACTTCCCTTATACTAGGTCTGGTAACATATCACTTCTCTTAGACTAGTTCAGGTAACATATCACTTCCCTTATACTAGGTCTGGTAACATATCACTCCCCATAGACTAGTTCTGGTAACATATCACTTCTCTGAAACTAGTTCTGGTAACATATCACTTTTATTAGACTAGTTCAGGTAACATATTACTTCTCTTAGATTAGTTCAGGTAACATCACTTCTCTTAAGACTAGTTCAGGTAACATATCACTTCTCTTAGACTAGTTCAGGTAACATATCACTTCTCTGAAACTAGTTCTGGTAACATATCACTTCTCTGAAACTAGTTCTGGTAACATATCACTTCTCTGAAACTAGTTCAGGTAACATATCACTTCTCTTAGATTAGTTCAGGTAACAATCACTTCTCTTAGACTAGTTCAGGTAACATCACTTCCCTTAGACTAGTTCAGGTAACATGTCACCTTCCACAGACAAGGTCTGGTAACATATCACCCTGCACAGACAGGGTCTGGTAATGTATCACCTTCCACAGACTAGATCCAGCAATGCTTAGCATGGATTATATCTGGCAACTATCCATAGACTAGGAGAAGAAACAACTTCCATGGACTGTAAAAATAAAATAAAGAATTTCTCTATTGATTGTAAGAAACGTCATAAAAAGATAAGATCACCCATGGACTAAAAAGATATAATGAGCATGACTAAACTCTTAGAAGAAGACACCTTGGGACTGCAAGAAGACAACACCTTGTAATCTTTCTCTTTTTCTGCATTCATCAGCTGAGAAATCTGACAGATGTCTGGTTGTTAATTTGAATGGACTTTGATCTTGTTCCAGATCTTGAGTGTAAATCCAATTTACAGATCTGGTATATTTTTGTGTAGAGCATTGTTCCTTTCCTCTCATAGGAAATGTCAATATTATCGATGTTGGCAAGGTGCCTGGTTAAAGTTTGTTGCCTATCCTTTACAGGACGTTGCAGAACCAACACCAGCAGGTTTTTGGCTGCTGCGGTTTTTCGGGCAAATATGCTCAGTAGTTTGTCACAGCTTACTGAACGGTCAGCACTCAGATACCACTGTCGAAACCAAAGTAAGACGGTCTGCTGCCAAATTGCTTTCAAAAGGGCCACATTAGCGCAGTCGATAGGAGACTCTCAAGTCAGCTGTGACTCGCTGCGGCTCACAACCGGTGTTCAAAAAAGGTGGTTCTTTACAGCTGACTGTACTGGTGGCAGAGAACTTATAGTTTATAACCGTGTGCAGTGACGCTGGTTCACATCTCCCGACTTTACCATTTTGCCTTCAGCTGGGTGTCAACACATAAACCGGTATATGCTGCATTACAACTAGTGCCAAATCTTTCTTTATAAAAATCTCAAATGTCATACGTTAATTTGTTCTCTTCTCATAATGAGGACAAAGAATGATGACTTTCTCCTTCTGATATCTGTCATCTTTGATGATGATGAAACATTTTTTCAAACTGCTATACAATTTCAGCTTCATTACACATTCATCATGGTCTTGTTGTGCCACGATACATTACAGAAAGCTCGCAGTTTATTTCTCCAGTACACTCTATCCTGTACAAATGTTTATATCATGAATGGAATCCGGTCCAGCACATTTGGCCTCTCAGCCACATCTATCATAGGGTTTGGACATTCTCATGATCTCAGCTTATCTGTTTCCCATTTAAGTGCCTGATTGGTGATTCTCTGTGTTCACCAGCTTTAAATTCTGGTTGTTCATCCAGTTCGGACCTTCATCCTTATCCCAGAACTTTAATGTTGTGTGCACATCCATTTGACACATCTTGCTTATCTGTATGCAGACTGTCAGTTCCTTGCCTCTCAGGCAAATGCAATCTGACTTCAAAGAAACCCTTAATTGGTCAACCTTTATGACATGCTTGTTAGGGAGGCGCCAGGTCTGTTCCTTTTTTTTTACACCAGAACCCACACAGGGACAAACCATTTAATGCCAAAGTTGCCTTAGGTAATTTCATTAAAAATTATCATTGCCAAACCTGAATATTTTAGCACTGCAGGCTGCTGCTTTAAGATCTGACCCCCCCCCCCCCCCCCCCTCCCACCCCAAATCAAAGATCAAATCCTGGATGACAATCAAATAGAGCAAATATCAGATAGCCCATTCAACTTTCTAAAAGTCATAATTAAAGCCTCCCAATGGCTAAGGCAGACACTAACCTAGTGTGCCCTGCAGTTCTATGGATGTGAAGAATTTATATTACCTAAAAGGCTATAGAGAATGACGACAGGGAACCAATTCTAACACAGAAAAGACAACACAATAAAAGAATAATATTAAAATAACTAAATACATACATTTAGGATAGATACGCATTTTTAGTTTGTAATTATATCAAAGAGTTCAAAACTATTTGCACACTGTCATGTTTTAATGTGGATAATCCAAAAATAAAAAACATTTCATAATGTAAAATATCTTTTACATGAATTATGCAACACTGAGTACCTATCTAAAATAATCTTATAAAGATGAAAACGTAAATGTATACATTAATATCCTGCCGTCGGCACTGTTGCTAAGTCGATGCGAATGCTGGGTTCGATCCCAGCTGCGGGCCATGCGCCTTGCGTTGGTTTCGACAGTGGCATCAAGAAAGCCGACTGTCCGGAAAGCAATGGCAAACTACTGGACGTAAATTTGCCTAGGTTGGTTCTGCAACGTCCTGTAAAGGATACACAACTAACCTTAATATCCTGCCATTTGAATGCACTACTGGCTTCTTTCTACAGATACTGTACTTTAACAGTACCTAACAAAAATCAAGGCTTGCAGAATGTAAACCACCCCCTGTGTGGGTTCAAGAGCCCCATTTGGGCGAGGAGGGTGGGGGGGGGGGGAGAGAGAAATAGACCCACTGTCCCATAACAAGCATCTTATCACAGTTGAATAATTGGGGGCGTGTAAAATCAGATATATTGGACCACAAGGGAATGAAAATGCACCCAACCCCACACCACAACATGCCAACTACACATTTAAGGGTGGACGCAGAAGAAGAAGAATATTCTGCAATTCTAACATGATGTGACTACTGCTGGTTTTTTTTTTGGTTGTTATATTTTTTTATTTTTAACAGCCACAATACTGTAATGATGCATGGGCTTTTTGGGAAGGATCAAGGTTTTTCTAGGCAAATTTACATCCAGTAGTTTGCCATTGCTTTCTGGACAGTCGGCTTTGTTGATACCACTGTCGAAACCAACGCAAGGTGCATGGCCCGCAGCTGGGATCGAACCCGGCATTACAAAGCGTTGGCATCGACTTCGCCAGAGCCGACATTAAGTGTCTTTTGGTCTGTAAATTGTGAGTCTAGCATAACAAGCTTGACATACCCTGTGTGACAAGGGGCCCTAAATTTTAATGTTCTGGGGTTTATCCAGACTCAGGTGACAACACTGGACAGAATTCGTTCCACCACATATGGTTCCAATCTGAAAGCCATAAGAATGGTCTACTTCCTCCTTGCTTCATCAGATTGTGAACTCTGGTGGAATGGTCTGGTTGTTTGTCCACTTCTGAACCTTGATCTTGCTCAAGAACTTGAGTTTTGCATGCATAACCATTTTATAGATTTTGAAGATTTGTATGCAGAGTTGGTTCCTTACCACTCAAGCAGATGCACTCCAACATGGCAGCAAACACCCCTGATTAGTCGCCTTCTAGAAAACGCGTGTTAGGGTGACAGTGGGTCTGTTCTCTTTCTCTACCCTCCTCCCCACCCCAAATGGGGCCTCAGAGCCCACGCAGAAAGTCTGCTGCTTTACAGTGTTTGGCCAGTCTCCTTCAGACTTCTGCCAAACAGCAACTTTTGCTGTGATATTTATCACAAGGAATGTTAAGGTAATATGAAAACAATACAGTGGGTCTAGAATGTTAGCTTCTAGACCAACTAGGATATATTATGAAAGTATTCTTGCAGGGGGAAAAGATCAAACACAAACAAATATATATATATATATATAAAACAATATATTATGAATCTATTATGTCAAACCCTTTAAATATTAACAACAAACTGATAACCACATAAAAATCTTCCTGTTAACCAACGTACTCATTTCAGTCAGGTACAAGTTGGGCAGACCGGTTTCTCAGATTTACTTGGTGTTTATCTCAGATCGATTTAATCAATGAGTTTGTTATGAACCTGCATGAGCCCCTTGAAATACTTCACAGTTCTAACTCGTAGTTCCATGGTGGCATCCTCGTCACAGAGAAAGATTGTGTGTGGGTGCTGCTGAAAGGCTGACACTGTCCACATGTGGTTGACACCTTCTTCGATGGCCTTGTGCAGGGCCAGGGCTTTGTGGGCACCTGTGATTAGTATCATTACCTGCAAATGAAAATTCAAAAATATAAAAAAGTTAAATGACATCATCATTTGCCTTTTCTGGTGGCATAGATGCTAATGTCTCCTTACAGATCTCGGGTTATCAATGGTTTTTTTTTAATTGCTGCCTTAATTGCTTTACTTGTTTCCAATTTTAATAATTCTGGCATTTTTTTCCATCAATTTAATAACCTCCCCACATTTTGATCAGCTCAACATGTTTCACTCTATCAAATTCTTCAGTGTGAACTGTTTCGATTTCATGACATACTGTAAGTAATATTCTCCACCCTTGTTTTAGTATTGATTAAATAATGTATAACGGTGACAGGGTCTAGTTCATTGCACAGGATTTGATCCCTTATGGTTCTGTCAGTCTCTACAGAGCTGCTGCTTGCTAGTTGAGAGCATTAGACAAAACACCCAACTCCATAGCTCTGCCAGCAACTTCCATGCATCTTCAAAACACCAGCACTTGTAAACCCAACAACAGAGCCAGAAACAAGTTTCATGACTTTCAGAACCAAGGCAAACAGTTCAACCACTTCACCACAGAGATTCCTAGTGACTGTCAAGCTGACTGTGTGCCTCATATTTCAGCAATCCACTGTTGGGAAACTGTCCTGTGTCCTTTATGTCAAAGTTTTAATACGGGACACCACCTGCTGACAATCTTGCTTATGTTAATGATGGATAAGAAGAAAAAGTAAAAACAAACTGACCTCATCAGCATCCATAACTGTACCAACACCAACAGTCAGAGCTTGGGTTGGCACTTTTTTCAAGTCATTGTCAAAGAAGCGAGCGTTGGCCAGAATTGTTTCCCTGGCCAATGTCTTGACTCGAGTACGAGACACCAGCGATGAGCCAGGTTCATTGAAAGCAATATGACCATCTGGGCCAATACCTGGTAGGAAAGAATTACACCATAGAACATTTCTAGCACAGCACTAATGATTGCGGGAAAAAGCATGGACAGAGCAGATATCGTTAACGCTGTACGTACTGGGCTAGTGGATAATATCGAATCCCTGACACTAACACGATTGCGTGACATGGGAGTTAAGCATGGTGAAGCACGTCTTTGCCGTCTGCGAGGCCGAGAAAGGAAACAATATAACCAGCTTCTCATGGGGACAATTAGTAGAAGTACTTTGGAGTGGCTGCTGCTTCAGAGGACTGCGCACGCATGGGTATGCCCAATGTGCAGTGACGTCGATTGTGATAACAAAACACAAAATAACATTTTGTAGGAAGTCGGCATTCCGAAACCCAAGTTCAAGGTGTCTCCTTCGTGCCAAAGAACTGCATGGCTGTTGGGTGAACAGTCGTTAACGAAGGCAGTCAGGTCGTTGAAGGGGCGACGCCTACTGGTGGATGTAATGTCCAAAGTCCCTTTCCAAACTAAAAGTGAGGGTACTGCTAGGGTGACCATTTGTTAACCCCTCACATAATGCTTCAAGTCACAGTGGACACTAGGCACGACCACTTTTTTATTTTATTTTTTTTTTTAAGCCGTGGCAGTTCTGCCAGGCGGTGGCCGTTGCATTTTTGCTCCATTTGTAGACTGGAAGGATATAGTTTCGTCACCCAGCTTCTGAGTTGAGTGCATGGTGTGACACTGTGAGCTACGAGTGTTTTTCGTTGGCACAGGAGCGGAGCAACAATGGGGTGACCCGTTTGCTATGATGCTGAAACTAGGATTACCAGATTTCTAGGAACCGAGCTGAGTTTTAACAAAACTAACAATAACACCAGAACACTTAGAAATTCCCTTAAGTACCCCATCCCCATCTTCAGTAGCCAGTGCAAAGTTCAAATGCCAATGGTACCAGTAGCAGTCAGTCTCACGTTTCCTCAAAGTGTTGAATGTCGGATTCCGTCATCAGTCCCTGCTGCATCATTCTCTCCAGACCACGCTCCGTTGATTACACATAGGGGTCTCCTAAACACCTGCACTTGTGGGTCCAAAACCACTACCTTCAGAAGATGAGTCTGACAGTTTAACCCTTTCACCATGGAGATTCACTAATGTATAAGATAATAACAATGTAAAACATCAACTAGTGCAGGTTTTTCTCATACAAAAAGAAGTCACAAATGGTTGTTTCAAAAAAAAAACTAAAGGTGATAACAACCTGAAAACCATTCATTTTGTAACATAATTTCCACCAACATTAATACACTCTTTGAGGGTACACTTTGTAAGTACAGTCAAGTACCTAACAAACAAAGACATAAAGTTTGATTTTGCTGTCACTTAATGGCGTCTTTAGAAGCCACCTACATACTCCTGCTATCCAAAAAAACCATGTGCAACTTTGCTGACTTCCTCTTATATTTACAAATGCAAGGGTTTAATGTTAAAAATATCCTGGGCTGAAAGTCAGGTTAACAGATACAAGTGGGGTAAGAAAAGCAAGCAAAATCTGAATTCATGCTAAAATTAAACAGCCTGAATCTGTTCTTCTATACCTCTTCTTCTTCTGCTTATGTGTTCACTAGCTGAACTCTGACCCCTAAAAAAAGTGGGGGTTGTTCATGTCTAGACATTAGTCTCGTTCCAGGATTTTTTAGTTAATTAAGCTATGGGGGACTGGTAATGATTTTAGATGCACCATTCTAGCTGCTGAAAAAGAAGGACCTGGGTGTTATGTGAACACATGTATAACAGATCTGGCATTATTTTGTGCAGACTGTTGGTTCCTTACCTTGTGGACAAATACACTACAACTATCTACCCTCGCTAGGGAGCCAGTAGGAAATCTTTAAAGAATCACTGCAGAAAGGTATAAATAGGTCTTGACAAGAAGCAGGCCTGGTCACCATGTGTGGTTTAGCACCATTACATCCCTAATCATAAATAACTTGTATGTTTAAAAAGGTGTTTAAATATGAGAAGGTGAGCTTCTTGCTCAATGATTTATTCCATGAGGCTCAGTCTCCCTCCGTAGAGTGTTGCAAAAAGCATGAACATCAGCTCCAGCATGACTCTGGTAAAAACACTTGCACTCATGAAATGAAGGACAAAGTCAAAAATCAAACCCACAACTTTTGGAGCATGAGGCAAATGTTTAAACCTACTGCAGAAACACCCTGTTGTGTATGCAATCAGTTAAAGTACTGAGGTATAAGAAGAAGAGAGAGTTAAAATAACAAGGACAGAAAAAATAAGGTAACATATATCTGGCAGAAAGTGTAGCAAGCATGAGTTAAATATAACCAGTTAAAAGCTAAAGTCACAAAGGTAACGTACAGACAGATTTTGGGAAATGAAAAACAAGGAATTACCCCCAACAAAAAGGCGAATCCCACCAGCTGCTTTAATCTTGTCCTCAAACTCCCGGCACTCCTTCTCAAGATCTTTTGCATTTCCGTCCAGCAGGTGGGCATTCTCTGGCTGGATGTCAATGTGCTTGAAAAAGTTCTCCCACATAAACGAGTGGTAGCTCTCAGGGTGGTCTCTAGCCAGATCTAGTCAGAGAAAGGATAGAATGCAGAATGCTGAAATATTTACGTCGACACAAGCATCCAATCAGGGGCTGTTTTCATAACTAGTATGATGACAGGCATAAATAACTGTACCCATGTCTGGTATGACAACAGGCTAACTGTACCCATGTCTGGTATGACAACAGGCTAACTGTACCCATGTCTAGTATGACAACAGACTAACTGTAGCCATGTCTAGTATGACAACAGACTAACTGTACCCATGTCTAGTATGACGACAGGCTAACTGTAGCCATGTCTAGTATCATGATAGGCTAACTGTAGCCAATTCCAAGTTGGCAGATATGTGAATGCAATCTGGAGCCATAGGACATGAACAAGTCATTCATAAAGGACATATATGTTTGATTAATCAACACAGAATGGACAAGATCAGTTAATTTTATATTTGTGGAGCCACTGGAGAGGAGCATCTATGGATTTGTCCTGATTTACAACTAAGGTTGGCTGCAATAGATTTTAAACACTATGTCTTGCAACATGCTTGTACTGTTGTTCTTCATCTCTTCTTATCCCTCCACTTGTATTAGTTTCTACCTCTTACTCATATGCCTTCAATATTTTTCTCTAGTATTTATTTCTTGTCTTGTTGTGCCATTACTTGTCACATACGGCTCGCAGTCTACTCCCTAATTCTGTTCTATCCTGCACGATCAGTTCAATATCATAGATGGAATCCAGTTCAGCAGCTTTGGCCTCTCTCATCAACATTCTTAGAGTTTCTTTTAGGCGTCCTCGCCTCCTTATTAATTTTAGTTCCTATTTTAATGCCTGTTCTGTGATTCTCTTCTGGTTTCTTCACAGGATGTGTCCAATGAAGCTCTATCTTCTCTGTCTTATAACTGTTGATACCGGTGGTTGCCCAGACGGTTCTTCTAGTATAGTTTTTATAAATCAATGTTTTTCTGTTAGCAACTCTTATCCTTCCCAGTTTCTCCAAATTGTATTTTATTGTTTTAATCCCATGAAATACTGATATATTTATATATTTATATATTTTTTTTTTTGCGTACACCGGCTGTGAATTCCGGCGGGAGGTCACGGTTAATCGTCCACTTGGACTTTTGACTTTCACCCGGACCTGATTTTTGCGTGTACAACCGTTTTAATGTTCCCTGCCTCATGGGCAGCTGTACTCCGACTTCGAAGGATAATATTCACTTGTAACCTAACTCCAGGACCATCTTCTTCTTCTGTCCTCTACCTTAAAAAGGCAATTGAAAGCTGTGTTGTGGTTCAAAGCTAGGTTTCAATATCTGCGCCTTTCTGTCCAACACATCTGATTTCAGCAAACCCTTCAAAGACACCTACAGCATGTTTGCTAAGAGCAGTGGGTCTTTTCTTTTCCCCCCATAAATACGACCCCAAAACCCACACAAGGAATCAGGGCCTTAAATGGACTATGTGAAAAACAAAAAGTACAGGCCATAAAAGTATATTTTTTCAACCGACGTAAGAAAGTTTTAAGATACAGAACCAATCATGATGTACGATTATGAAAGTGATCATGGAAAGCTACAGGATTAGAGAATAAGTGGATCTTAGCACATCCAGTGTATCACTTTTCTGTCTCTCTATTCTTCACCGAAAACTCTTCTCATTCCAACTACTGATGATTCATTTAACCGAGACATTTCATTTATGTCCAACTCCTTAATCTCATTCACAATGTCCGCTCAATTTTTTTACTGAGTCTCTAATAATGCCTTTTTTTCCTCGTCATTTACTTATCTCAATAAAGTGGTGGTTTGGGAAAAGAGATGTGCCAAAGTTGATTGAAAGTACACGAGACAGAAGGTTGGAGCTAGACATGACTACTAAACTCACATTGCATGGACGTAAAGAAGGGGAAGCATCTTCTAATTAAGAAAGCATAGCAATTAAAACACAATTCTAAATTAAGTAAAAAAAAAAAAGGATCAGATGATTAACCTTATACTTGTGTGGTGATCAACAGGTTAATCTTCGAGTTAAGTTGGTAAGAGGTACAGTGTAAGAAGACACAATGTGATCTGTGAATTTCAGTTTAAAGGATTCATTTTTGTGTGTGTACATGTTGAAACATGTTGAATCCTGATGAAACATGTTATCTCATACAAACAAGTTAACAGACATTATAATACTTAAACCACATACCAACATATTCATCCATGTTGAAGGTTTTCACATATTTAAACGACACCTTGCCAGCTTTGTGAAATTCAATGAGTTTCTTATACATGCCAAGTGGGGTGCTTCCTGGAACAGATATGAGCATTTTTTAAATCAGCAAACATTTCAAAGCAGAAATGGTTATCATTATCATCATCTTCTGTCTTCATCCTTACAAATGGAGTTGGCATGTAGTGCTGTGGCTTAATGCTAGGCTGTGATATGTATGCCTTTCAGTCCAACACATATGACTTCAGCAAGCCCCTAATTAGCAGCATTTTATGACATGCTTGTTGGGAGTGGGGGTCTATCATTTTCCCCCTCAAATTTGAGCCCCTGAAACTAATGTGGGAAATCATCATCATGTGCCGTGCAGGTAAGCATATGCTACCTTAGTTCACCACCACACATGATCCCTAGAATCATGGATCAGGACAGTGTTCTTATCTCACCAGATCCACATGCACAAGCTACCCAGGTCTTCTTCCTCTTCCCGTTCAGTGGCCGAAAACTGCAGAGGAAAGTTCTGGTCGGTTGTCCACCTCTGGACTTTAGTCTTGTTCTAGATGCTGTGTTGCGTGCACATCTGACTCAACTGTATGCAGAATGTTGGTTCCTTTCCTTTCAGGCACATGCACTCCAGCTTCGAAGGAAGCCCCCAGTTAGTCAACTCTTATGACATGCTTGTTGGGGAGGCAGTGGGTCTATTCTTGTTTTCCCCACAAGGAGGCCCAGAACCCACTGGAGGAGTTATCCAGGTATTTTATTTCTTTGATCTCCCCTTGCACCAAGCTACCACGCTGTCACCAAGTTTTCGAGTCTATTCTTTCTTCTAGCATGTATTTTAAATACTGTCTTTGCCTAACTTCTCTAATCAGTTTGTGGTTTTAAAATGTCTCCCGGAGGACTGCTTCATTTGTTTTTCAATCATTCTACCATATTTTTTTGCATTCATCTCAGAAATCACATTGCTGCGAGAAGGTTTTTCGATATGTCTGTTTAATGCCCATATCCTGCACTCATATAACAACACAAACTCTATGTAACAGATTTTTCTCATTATAGGATGGTATATTTAAATTTGTTTCAGTTTAAAATTGTATGTCATCTTAAACACGCAATATGTTTAAACTATCTATATCCTAATTTTGGGCTAACAAAAATAGAGACCATCTTGCACTGAAAAATTAGGTTATCTTTAGGACACTTTTTCTTACTGCAATTTACATGTTTTTCCCAAATCTTTTGCATCTTGAACCAGTATAATAACAAGGGGACAGGTAACAACAATGGGAGGACCCATTAACGCAAACAACGATTCTGGTCAGAAAACAATGCCCATGACAATATTCATGAGTGAAACAACCAATTATTGTTGACAAATTGATTTGTGTGTGAAACTGATTACTGATGACAAATTCATTCATGAGTGAAAAAAAAACACCAATTACTGATGACAAATTCATTGTTCTTTCACAGAGTGGCAACACTGATACCCATTTCCTAGAGACTGGGTGAACCCCTGGAACCGCGACCGTGGGCTGCAGCGAGTTGCAGCTGGATTTTGAGCACGAGCCTCTTATCGACTGCGCTAACGCGGCCCCCAGAGGGAATATAAAACAACACACAGGGCATTCAAACAATGAACTTCTAGCCGTGAACTGACCAAACCACCATGCCTGCCTACCTGTAGGAAGACCCAGAGTGAAATAATTCTCTTCACTCGGCTTGTGCTCCAGTATCTTTTTCAACACATACTTGGCGGCCCAGACGGACACCTCATCGTAGGTGTCTTGGATGATGAGCCTCATTCTATTGTCTTATCTTATAACAGTTCAGGTTCTGAAATCAGAAATGTTGATATGTTAGTGGGTAACTTATTTGAATTTATTATCATTAATCCTTTGGAGACTGAACCTTTTTTGGAGTTTCAGTGCCAAGAAAATGGAGCCCTGCAGAGGGGATTCCCTTAATTTGAACACACAAATATACACAATAAAGAATGTAATTACCATACATCAAAAATATATATATATATATATATATATATATATATATATATATATATATATATATATATATATATATATATATATATATATATATATATATATATACATATATATATATACATATATATATATACATATATATATATATATATATATATATATATATATATATATATATATATATATATATATATATATATATATATATATATATACATATATATATATACAATATATATATATATATATATATATATATATATATATATATATATATATATATATATATATATATATATATATATATATATATATATATATACACATATACATACATACACTTGTAGACAACCGAACAAACTAACAAAATCTATATGAATCTAACTGAAATCTCAACAGCCATTCAAATTAGCTATTCAGATTTTTGGCAGAGCAGTTACAACATTTAGCTCTCATGCGGATGACTCGGGTTCGACCCCGGGTAAGGTGATGGAGTTTTTCCGTTAGGGGCAAAATTAAACATCCTAATTTGTACAGTTTGCCATAAAAAAATTATGTGAATTCTCTGAAGGATAAAGATGGAATAAGTCCTAATTACTAATACTTGTGTTATAGGGAGCAGATATAAGGACCATTCAGACATATGGTACTCCTTTTCCTGCTACTTTTTTTTATTGCTACAGATGCAACAGTCCTTTTTATTACTGTAGGGCACATGGAACATGCACACAAACAAATTGATGTAAAGATTACACAACACACAAACTATCAGGAAGGGTGCCCCTGACAAGCTCAGATGTGCAAAAAATGTGAGAAACAATTTGATTGGCTGGTCGATGACCAGCTAGCAAACCTCAAAGCTTGTATTACTGGACCACTGGATCAACCTATTCATCTTTTTTACCATTCCATTGTTTGCCTAAAAGATCAGCCCTGTGATCTCCACAGGGTTAGGTTTATTAGGTTTATACGACGAATGAACATCATAGCACACAGGTTTAACCCGTAAGTACTCCGTTTTACTTCTAACTCAACCGTGAGTCTGAAGAATCTCAGTGCACTGCAAGAACTCTGTTGCACCAGGGTTAAGTAAAACACAAATTGGTCAAATTCTTCAAAACAAACTATTGCATATTTTGTCATAAATTAGGCAACTCAACTATGTGCTTTTGAGTTTAACTAAATGTTACAGGAAGATTCTCTGAGTGTCATGGACACAGTAAAGGATGGATAACTGACATTCTTGATCTTGAATGTGAATGCAGACAACTATCAGACCCGGGGGACTACAGAATTATGCCAATGGTTTTAGGAACAGTTTCTGCCCATGACTGTAAAGTCTGATGATGCAAAGTTGCAGTCTCTTCCACATAATCTATTTCCAGTTGTTATATTAACCCATTCTGCACCAGCTGTTAATTCAACTTTTTTTCCCCATGGTGTTATTATTATAATTCCTTCACCGCCCAATACTGGTTTGTTAAAAGCAGCAACTTCTTGTAATATAATACTGAGTTACATAATGAGTTAAAATACAGTGTGTCAGGGATTCAAAGAATCAATAATCTGAATACCGAAGAAACTGGCTAATTAGCTAATAAACATTATTGTTTCTCACAAAAACTCTACTAAGATCTTTCCCAAGCCCGGCTGTAGAATGAGGAGGGTCTGGCTGAACCTGAGTGCTTCATGTTCCTCGGAAGTAGTGGGTAACCGTGAATAAGTTAAATGGCCTGCATGGAGACCGAAAGGAGGCAGCCCCTCCACCATGCAAAGGCACAACATGATAATCACCTCTTAGCCTCAAACTCCGATTGCAAGTTACCACAGAGAGAAAACCGGACGGATCTTAACGATGATGAACTGGCATGGCTGACTGACTACGATTTAAGAAACATGGAACATAAGAGGCATTAACGGGAAGGAAAATAAGTTAGTAGGGGAGATGAGAAAAGCAAGATTAGGAGTCTTGGTTCAGACTGAAACCAAGAAAAGGGGGCAAGGAATCACAGATCATGATGGAAGTACAATATGTCAAGATCTTGTTACCAGTCCTTGCAAACCCAAGTTGATCAGTCACAGTTACGATAGTTTGGACATATACAGAATGGGAGAAAATCGACCACTATGGCAAGCATGGGAGGCTAAGTACTAGGAAACCTGACCTACAGGACGACCCAGGGTCAGGGTTCGCTGGGAAGACAAGAAACGACAGTCCCTAAATGACAGAGGAACACAGAAATAGAATAAAGCCAGAAAAAAAAACTGCTGATAGAGACATCTGGCGATCTCTTTGGCAATCTCTTCCCCCAAGGTTGAAGAGGAGCGACTAAGTAAGTAGGTAAGTCAGTTTCTTGCTAGGTGAAATTATTTTGGCCAGGAATTGAAATATAATTTTTTTTTAATTAATATTTTTCTCTAAAGATTACAAAAAGCCCGGGGGAAAAACCCGCACACTAAACCTTCAAGATGTCGGCTCTACTGGCAAATCCGGACGAAGAATAAACAGCCTTGGACGACTTAGTCAGAGTTCTCTCCCGTCGCCGCACTCCAAACAGTGATCGGAAAATCCACAACGAAACAAAGAAGACAGTCATGTCGACATCAGGGCTGCCAATGCTTGGTTGTTTCCCCCCAGATCTGGGTTTTTTTTTCGACGCTGCAGGACAATTCTGGGTTTTTTTGTGTGGGTGTGTTTTGTTTGTTGGTGTATGTTTTAATGATCGATAAATTTGCGTGGTTAGGGGGGGTAGGGGTTAGGGTTAGGGAGTAGGATTAGGATTAGGGTTAGCGGTAGGGTTAGGAATAGCGTTAGATTTGACAATTTTGACGCCGGAGTTCCCTATAATCGCGCACAGTCCCATACACACAAACAAACAATCGAGGGCCTCTGGATGCTGGTCACACGCACAATTCGCCAACGTTTGGGGGCACCAGCCGCACGCTATTGGCGTCATATTTGGCAGAGTTTCAGTGGCGCCACTCCCACAAACATCATATTGTCGGCCAGTATTTCGAAATCCTACGTCAAAATTTTCACATCTAACCCTAACCCTACCCCTAACCCTAACCCTACCTCTAATCCAACAACCGCATGATGATGACTACACAACCATTCACAATGCCTCACGCAACCGTACGCAACTGTGCACGCAACCATATGATGATGCCACGATGTCTCACGCAACCGTAGGCAGCCCTACACGCAACCGCAGGATGATAGGTAAGTTTGTCGTTTGTTTCGTTTGTTTTCCGATTACTGTTCGGAGTGCGGCGACGGGAGATAACTCTGACTAAGTCGTCCAAGTCTGTTTATTCTTCGTCCGGATTTGCCAGTAGAGCCAAGATGTCTTTATGCTTGTGGGACATCCCAAACATGTTTATCAGATTTGAAGTAGACAAGACATAAATTTTCCATCTCGTTTACTGTTTACTGCCAATCTGATAGACTGGAGATTAAATTAATACCGTAAACAGAATTAACTGCACAGCAAGGAAGTAGTAAAAATAATACCAGCAAAAATATTCTATTCATCACTTCTGTGTGAGTGTCATAATCAGAATGCACCCCCCCCCCCCCCCCCCCCCCCCAATATAATGTCAGTTTTTTTTTTACATTTGTTTCACAAATGTGTTTGGTTATAATTTGAAGTGGATTTTATGTGTTACTTATATTTAGAGCAACTGATATCCATCTTCTGTTTCATTCTTTTTAAGACTAATCTTACTGAATTGAACTAAGGGTGTAATTTAATTGTAAATAATAATAAGAAGTAAACTGTAATAATAAAATAATACTAATAAAATATAAATATTTGCTTATTAAACAACATGCACTAGAAACATACTAGAATGCACATGTTAATTAATATTTTCACTCCTGTTAATAATAAATTATTAATAATCCAATTTTAACATATTAATTATAGTCTTCAATAAAAAATCGTTAGTTGCATGCATACAATTATTTCAAGTACCCAGTATGTTTAAAGACGTGGAAAAGGGCACCTCACGTTTACCCTAACCCTCACGTTTACTATTTAGATACAAACTGACACATGGTTAAGAAAAGATGTTCACACTTTTTATTTATACATTCACAGTATAAAAAGTGTGTACACACTGTACTGTACACCTTTTCTGACCAATAAAAATTAATAGACAACAAATATCGGCCTAAAAACTCGATTAGTTATATAACCCACCTGCACTAAAACCGTAACAAATAAATCTCCCTCTGTCCTGAATCTTATTCGTGAACTCAGAAAGAACTCTAGTAAGCTAATCCAGTCTTTATTGCAGTTGTGTACCGTGTCGCTACCCTAACGTTTAGGTTAGGTTAAGGCTAAACAACTTTAATCTTAGAAGAAACTTCTGGTGATATATATAAACAAAATATCAAACCTAAAGGATTACTGTTTAAAGTAACTAACTGTAGCATGCCTGTCTATAATTTCAAACAAGGGCACAAACCTCCACCGAGATCAGATAGTGGGAGTGCAGAGATTTTCGATAAGATAAACGATGTTTGTGGACGAAGACGTGGTCCTTCTCTCCTCATCTGATAACAGACGTCAACTTCAGGCTCTGGTCATGTGACTCCTGCACCTGACCTGTCACATGAGCAAATGGCGTGGATGGGCCACGTGACAGTATTTAAAGTTTTCATCGTTCTTCCTCCTCTTCTTCTTCTTTCAACTTTAAAAGCCGGTGGGCATGTTTTTTTGAGGTCTACGACGAAGAAACCGGGGAAAAGGGGGAAGGGAGAGAGATGCTCAACTCAGCCAACCCTTCCCACA